TCAATTTAATATTTTCTTAAACAACATGCTCACTGCTATTCTTATCGATGCTCCTTTAGCGGTTGCTTTTCCTGGATTTGTGCCCGCAGCCCGGAAACGAACGCCCTATATCGCAGAACGGGTTTTCTGTCGATTTATTCGTTGTACATCATCATGCAATTCTTTTTGTGCATACGAAAAAAAAAAACGGGTATTATTCGCTAATTTCTCTGTGCTACTAGCCTGTTCTTGCGCGATTGAAATTTATCGACTTTTAAGAACGGTTTTCACCGCTTTACTAGAGTACGACGTCATTTATTTAGAAACGTTTAGGTAAAAGCGCAGATTTATGATCGCATTATGAATAAAATGATGATATATTATAGATTCAGAAATAGCTATCTACGAAATATAATATTGTAGCACATTTAATTTCAAACATTTATGGCGAGTTAGATCAAATTCACTCAAGATTATACACGCAAGTGGCAAAGTCCAAGATTAGGGTAATGATGGGATATAAATCGAAATAATGATGAAATATAAATGTGATGCCACATATTTGTAATACTTTTTAGGAACTTCTCATGGAGACCACAGGAGTAAAGTACCTATGTTACAACTTTATAACGATTACTGGGTTGTCGCGAAGATTTAAGTCAATACAAAATTACGTACATTCTCCTCTCTAGGTTACTTATCCTTTAAATCGTTTTCTCAAGTTTCAACATTCCTTCTGTAGAAACGTAAGAAAATCTGCTAATCGATTGCAGTCTTGTTTTTCTTTTATAAAGAAAGTAGATTTTGATGGTAGTAATCGATTTGAAACAATTTAAAGCATCGCACATTTGCGTTTTTTCTCGAAATTTATAATTGAAATTTATTACTCAACGTGACAGTTTTATTTGACTGTCAAATGAAGAATGAGGTACAATGACGTCATAAAACTCCTTATCCCATATATCGTTCTCGTAGTTCCTTGCTCACTTTTAGAGGAGTTAATTATGAGGCGCGGCGCAGTTTCCAATTCATCATTCTATCGTTTTATTTCGACTTTGCTCCCGGCCAGCGAAACGTAAAAATCGCATTTGACTTTTTGCCCGACGTGAAAGCATATTTTTTCGGCTAGTATTGTTTTCGCATTAAAATTTCTCCATAAAGCTGAATAATTTTTTACTGCTCGCTTAAGTGGACAAATTTCTGTAGCTGATTGGGAAACAAATCGTGCTAAATGATTCAAAGAAACATATGGGGATCGTCAACAAAAAACTTATATAAACAGAATATTATTATATGGATTTCATTAAAATTTCAAGTTCGGGATATTGAATATTAGTATTCAGAATAGATTAGACACTGATATAGATTAATGTTGTCAACTGATACGCTAAATACGTAAATTAGAACATAATAGTTGAAGGAAAGATGAAAGCGTCGTTATCGTTAACAACTCGAAAGTAATCGCCTGCAATTCTCAAGTGTTTCAATGTCCTCGATTTGGATAAAAGCAACGATACCTTAACGCTCTTTCGAAATTCTGCAGTCTCCGTTGGAGAGATCTTAGCCTTGACTAGTATAAAATATCTTCAGAACTTTACAGAGAGATGTATTGTGTCACATGAAACCGTGCGTTAATATCTAGTGTAAATACGAGATTTATTTCTTTCTTCGCCTCAACACCTTTTGCATTGCGATGATCATTTATCTCGACAGAGACTCTAACGAAGCGCTTATATTATATTAATCAGATGATAATTTTATCATCTCTATTCGTCTAAAATGTAATGAGATAATAAAAATCTCAAGGATACTATTGAAACTAATGAACTTGAAGAGCACTTATAAAATCTTTTTCTTGACTTCTTTGCATGTTAAAATTGAATTGTAAAAGTTTAATAATCGAAAATGCAATATAAGAATCGTACATATACATACGTCCGAATGTGAACTTGAATTAGATCGATCGATCGAAGAAGATATAATATTTTGTCATAATATTTTTTTTTTTAAATTATCTGTAAAGAGACAAATTAATTTGTTAGGAAATTATATATTATGAAATATGTAATTCAATTATATAAAAGCTGTGTTCTCACAAATTTCCATAAAGGAAGGAAAAAAGATATTTTTTTTAATAGCATGTCCAGGTTTTTACGAAACAAATTGGCATTTTCGAGTAGTGAAATACATATTTACATGTTATGATTCATTCGAGATTAAAAGATTATTTTTCACTTTAAATGAACTTACTTTGAATGTAAAAAAAGCATCGGAAATTTGTCAATGTCCGTATAAATAATGCATACTCTTGTTTATGTTTTTATTTTATTCATACTAAACTATTATAAAAGAAATTCATATCTTTATCACATATCTTTATAATATGAAAAAATATTCATATCTCTAGATGTAATAAAGATCTTCTCTGAGTACTCATCAAAGAAGATGCGGGAATCGATCATTATCATGTGATTATAGTTATTTAATTATTTATTAGAAAATAGTAATTTAACATAATAAGTTTATCTATTTTTTTGCCATTCTGATCTTGTTTGTCCATTTCATGACAGATAGTTATTAATGATATTACATATATATAGTAACAGCTGATTCTTTTTTACTGGGATATCATTATTGCTCATTTGCATTCAACAGAGGCAATATAACTATGCAGTTATTAAGTTTCAATATAAATGATTTGATCTGCACATTTAATTTATTATATATAATATTATCTAAATTTTTTGTTTATGTGAATGACGTAAAGAGATTAATTAATATATACATATTTTTTTTTGCTATGCATTTTGCGGATCTAATTAGAATCGAATATTAAAGAGGAAGCTAATTAGATCCGCATTAGATTTGAATATTACAAACTGTAATGATTTAAGGATTTTGAAAATTCAAGAATTTCTTTTACGTTAACTTACAAATATTTTATCTGACGTCGCTTTAAAAGGGCAGATTACGTTTCCCTCGGATAATCGCGAAATCGCGTCGCGTTATTAAGAAACTGGCTCGAATACGGTCCAGCGACCTTGTGCCGAATATTACGGCGTGTTTCGAGACGGTTGTGTAATGTAACGCATTTCACGTGCCTGGACAAACATACGTGGGGGTTACATTATAACAGGTAGTTGACCACATGCAAAACGAACGCACGCTCGGTGTATATACGTACACAGATCAGCGAGCTCTTTGCGAGCAAAGTTTCTACAGAGTTTGAGAAAGGATCGTCTTTTTGTCACCTGCCGAGAAATAATATGTATGCAGCATTCATAATAGGGCCAGACACTTAGAATTAAGGCTACCGCGACATTTCTAACGCATATATTTTTCATCTTAATTATGAAATACAGGTGCGTCTCCATTTTCAAGAATGTATATTTACGTATTTAAACATTAAACGGGCTAATAAATTGCGATCCGTCATTCATTTAATGAAATTCTCTCTCTCTCTCTCTCTCTCTTTCTCTCTTTCTCAATTCTCTTATAGCATCTCTTTAATATAAATTTCTTTAAAAAAATATACATTTTTTAAATGTTTCTGTATATATATGTACAAAATTAATTGTAAGCTAGTAAACATACATTTAATAATATATTTGATAAAAATATTAAATTTAATTGTATCAAAAAAACTTAACAAATGTGTATATATATTTTACCTCTTTTTATTATATTACTATATACACGCGTATTTATCTATATATTTCTTACATAATATGTTTGTTAAAAATTATTATTACAAATTCTTCTTGCTCAGAAATATTGCATATTATGCAAAAAGATGGCTTTCGCAAGATGCGGTCAAATATTTGACCCATTTTTGACAAAATAATTTGTTAAAATATTATGGCAGAGAGAATGAAAGAGTGAGAGAGTGAGAGAGGAAGGAGAAGGAGAGAGAGAAAGAGAAGGTTAATGTCAAAAGTGATAAATGTAGCATTTTTTCGAAGAACTTACTATGATATGAGAATATACATGTGACATACTTAAATTGTCATGCAGTTGCATTGAAGAAAATTTACTTGTTCCACTTTATCGATAGGGGACTTTACGAACAGGACACGATTTAGACAGTGAACAACGGTTATTTTCGCGATAATTTTCTATTCGTTAAGCCATTAATACATTAATTTTAATCTTGTATTTTCAATTTTCTTTGTATTCTCTTTTTTAAATTTTTTGGAATTTTTTGGCGGAAATCTTTGGCATTTCATATTAAAGTAATTGTTTCTATCTTTCGAAGCTCATTAAAATTTGAAATTGATTAAAATTAACAAAATACGATGAGATCGCGATCAGTATCCGAAAAAAAACTTTAATGTACGAGATATATATTTTGGCGGATAAAATATGTTGCAGTCGGAGTTAAAAATATTATCACATTGTCAGTATTTAAATACGGCTTTTGAATATTAACGAGCCTGTGGCATATAAAATACAAACTACTTAATTCGTGGATCCGTTATTGCGTCATTGATATTATAATAAATCTACCTTTCCTTGCTATTAAATTTGTATATCAATTAAAGGAGCAGAAATAGTGCTTTGTAGTGTGAATCCATTGTACGACACTAGCGTATTGCTCTACTATTTGATCTGTGGCCAGATGCTATCTCGCACGTTAAAACGTTTATGCGTGTTAATATAATATTTTCACTTTGAGCAAAACACATAAGATAATAGAAAAAAAATATTTCTCCGGCACAGAAATTGTCTTTGATATTCCTAGCCTGATATTGATAGTCTCGTTATAATTCTGTCGAATTGTCTTCAACTTCTTTAACTTTCTAACGCGCAGCATACCACAAAAAAGTTTAAAGATTCACTCGAGGATACTCGGATACGTTCGCGGATTTTTGCAGTGCATTGTTTTTTGTAACAAGCTCATACGCTTACGCGCACCGATCCATTTAAGGAATCTGCCCGATTTCTCGCGGCGGAAATTCGTTTCGGACTGTTCGCTCGCTCGCGTTCCGCTCTCCTCCCCGAGATTTCCGAAATGCGCTTACCTTCTGCTCACGCTTCGCCGAATTCGATTGTCGATCAGAAACTTGGCCGGGCACTTCGCACTTCACCACTCCTGCTCTCTTGGCTACTTCGAAGCCACCCGAAGTTACCGATCTCTATGTGATTTAATGGTGCTGCATCAAACCCGAGCGACGCATCAAATGGATCATCGGAGACTCGCTCGCTCGACTCTCGCGCACTTTCCTCGAACCTGGCAGACGCAACGTCGACCGATTGCGGCGGACACTGGTGATGGATACCGAATCGCGAGGATCCCCTTCCGATGAGCGAAGGGTCGCGGAGGCTCGGAGGGAGATTGTCGTCACTCCGTGCACCGATTGCTCACGCGGCTTTTCCTTTTCTCGCGGGATCGAAAAGAAAAACACCTGTGCGTGCAGATAGCTACATATATTCCCACAATCGCATACGCGCGATCAGTGCTGGTCGCGCGGCGCACAATGATCAGTCCTATGAAGGGTCGTGAGGTTGCGTACCGGAACCGAAACGCGTTTACGCGCGTGTACAGTGCGGACGTACGTGCGTGCGTGCGCTTATGGGTCCAACGGCCGATGCTGCGAGAATAGTCCGCGGCGCGGTAAGTCCGCGGTTTAAGTATTGGCTAACCCAAGTGGGGTTTAAGCGCGCGTGAGAGCGCGAGGAGGGACTGCACTGATCGGGGTTTTACCAGGTGATCGTCTGCGAACCCCGTGCCGCGTTCAGTCAAGGTCGCTTTTCTCAGGCGGCTACGTCTGGAGGAGAAGAAAGGCGTCTCTTCTCGATGATGTCGACGTACCACGGGCGTGACACCCTTCGGCCAAGGTCACCACGTACCGCTTGAAACACGCCGCGCCTCCGCTGAGAACCGACAACGTCGAGGCCAATTCGAGCAGCGGACTGGTATTCCACAAAATCTGTCGTCATGTTTTCGTAATTATTCATATTAATTTCTTTCAACCAATCTCTCAATTTTTTTTCTCGTGGATATGATTTCCGGATGTACGATCGCTCTTGTGGATTTTAGCAAGATAAAAATGAACATACAGGCAATTTTATTTTCTCTTAAAGATTGACGTTATGCGTGAAAATTAGTTCGCGACTGTATACTTGATTCTAATTATCTATTGTAAGAAGAATATTGAAAGTAATCGCAATTTTGTCAATGCAAATATTTTTCACTGCTCTTGTATATTTATTAATAATATAATAATACAAAAGGTAGGCTATAGGCTAAGGTAGATAAGAAATAAGAACATGTCGTTATTTTGTATCAAATTTGAAATCGCCGAAATATCGAAGTGCCAATAGCTTTAAACCTATAAGCTATATTGAAAGTAATAAGTTTTTCTTGTAAATTAAATTTTGAAAACAAAGAGACTGTAATCAATTTGAAATAAATTTGATTCTAACTTTCATTTGATTGCTATGATATTGAAATAAAAATATTATTAAAAATATTTTTTTATAGGTATTCTTGAAATAATTTCAGTGATTAAGAAAAATGACAAATTATGATTATATTCTCGCACATGCACGCATACATGACCATATTTTTAGAAGAAGAGATTTTTATAAAAAAGCGACTTGAAAAAAATATAAAGAATGTTATACATTTTTCGTTAATTCTCGCATACTCTGCATTATTGTAACAATCATGAATGTATTTATAGCTATCTAAGAATCCACGATGTCTACGTGCGTTCAGTAAAAAAAATCCATATGTAATTTCGAGGTATAAAAAAGCAGAACATTATAACGAATCAGATCAAAAATAAAAAATCATACCAACAGTATTAATGGTATGTAATAAATAGTAAATAACAGTAATGTTAATGATAGTGGAGAAGTCAGAAATAAAAAACACATATTGAGAATGCATATTGACGGTGCGATAATTAGATTCTGCATACTTCATTATTTTAATCCCAGAGTTATCTCTGATACAGATAACCATTATTATGTGGCAGATTATTATGAATATTGTTCTATTCTTCAATGTCTTATTTTTTAATGATATTTTTCCATGAAGTCTTTTCTATCAATTTCTTACAAGGAGATTACGTTTTTGTAACATTTTATTTACATAAGAGTCTTTTTTCTAATTATTACTAATTGTGAGAGAAAAGACATTAATATTAACAGCAAGTAATCTTCATACAGCAGGATAATGCGCAATTTCCTGCAACACCCAATAGCACTTCACAGGTAAGAGAACACTTCACGGACAAAAAAGTATATAAATATTACTTGATAGTTGTTTTGTTCAATATTTTTTATTTATACGCAATCATATGTCCAATGATCTAACAAATGATGTTCGAGAAGCACTCTACATGTTCATATTTTTATTAAGAATTGTGCGATGTTTGCGCACTAATTTATTCGTCGTATAATTAAAATAATTTATAAAATATGCAAAATTAATATACAAATACAATATACATATATTTTTGTATATTAATAATATAATTTTTTCTTAAAGATTGGAAAAATCTATCATGGACCAAAAATAAATGACGCGTGTATAGCATTGGAAGTTATGAATCATATATTTGGCAGGATGAAGCAATTGACATTGAAACCAGATTTGATTTTTTCCGTGGAAAAGGAACTTCACTCTTAAAGTCAATAGGTGCAAAGTATCGAAAGAGAAACTTTCGTCACAGAACATTTCAAAGTCGAGATCGAATGTTCTTTTATTTCGGGCATCACATCGACATATGCAAAGATAATTTCGGAAATAAACTCTTTTATCCTTGGATTTCGTCTTAAGAGCCCGTCGGTTCGTTTATGTAATCTTTCCTTTTAAAATTCGATATGTAAAAATGTACAATACGATTGTAATTAAAGCGCGCTCATCAGTACTATAAGGACAGATCGTGCAATTTTTGGACTGTGTACTATGGATGATGTAACAGCATCGGGGCCGACACATTACTTAAATATATTTATTCAAAAATATATGTAAATTTGCTTACATCATACTGAATTAATTTTGCGTTGATTGACCTTGGTTTAATGTGATTCACACAGCACATTGAACTATGGTGCTAACTTTATTCAAAAATTTTATATATATATATATATATATATATATATATATATATATATATATATATTATACATAGTTCAATGTGCTGTGTGAATCACATTAAACCAAGGTCAATCAACGCAAAATTAATTCAGTATGATGTAAGCAAATTTACATATATTTTTGAATAAAATATATACATAAAGTTAATAATCTCCTGGTTCTATAAATATTTAGATTTACGCTGGTTCCATAAATATTCAGATTAAACAAGAATTTTTTACATATAGTTGTCATTTTATACGTATCCTCTTTTATTCTTAATAAAGAAAGAGCAATGATTTTTGATGCTTAAGAGACGTACCAATTTTTTAATCAACTCGTAGACATTTATCGTATATTAAATTCCTGATTTGTTTAAATTTTTTTCTATATTGATGTAAAATAGTGACGTAATATAATTAAACGTAGTGTTACTTCGTACTTGCATCAATCTACCGATTATTGAAAAAAATTGGTGCGCAATATACTTGAAAATGAAAAAAACTTGTTTACTGATTTTTTATCCTCATGTTCGTATAATCTTGAATAGCGAAATAATATGAATATAACAAGAGAAAATGTTTTACTGTTCACGCTTGTTGAACAAAAAACACACCAGAGTAAAGAAGTAATTATAAAATTTGCATTGATTATTGCGTAATTACATGAAATATTCTTCAAATTCTTCAAGAGTTTTGCAATATATATTAATTTTTTAAATATAATATTACGTCTCTCTCTCTCTCTCTTTCTCTCTCTCTCTCTCTTTCTCTCTCTCAAGGATATACTTTAAAATTTTTTTCTAAAGTATCTGTCGCATTCGCTTTTAGTCACAAATACATTACTATATTTTGTATGTCTTCCTTATACGCAATCAAGCGCCTGATGCAACTTTGCATTAGGAGAATGAATTAATGCAGATTAGATGCGCTGCCATTTTGACATATGATTTTTACCGAATAAAGAAACTATTACCAGTATCAAACTATTATTCATATGCTAATATAACATAACAAATGATATTTTACACAATTGATAAATTGTTAAGCCAATTTTTGAGATTTAGAGAAGTCTATGTTGACGCTATCTTATGTTACCAATTTGCAATTTTTTGTAAGATGTAAATGTTTTGGCTAAAAAGATTTTTTAAATTAGAAATTTTTATAGAACATTTTTTATTAATTATTTCTATCACAAAATATACATTGCAAACTTGCAGAGAATCTCGCGAGAAATTCTAGCAGTCAAAAATCAGCCAAGAATCAGCGTATCTACGATCGAATCTCGTAAGATCGGAGTTGGAATGGGATAATGGAAGGGGACAATTTGTCCGTGATGTAACGCGACGATGAAAAAAATTTGATTTGTCAATACAATACATATACAATACGCAAAATACGGTTACAGCCAGACGATTGACGTCACCGCTGATGCAATTTCTGCAATTCAGCATTGATTGAGTTAAATGAAAAAATGTACCGAAGGTGTTTAGATCGTTTAATAAATGTTTCAAGATTTCCATTGTGATTTGTTTACGCGATTTGTAATCATATGAATTTCGCAGAAAACGAAGAAAAAAATCAAATCCGCATGTTTTGAGATTTCGAACTTCAACGCAAAAAATCTTGAAAAACCATCGTAAAGAAAAAAATATATTCTTGTTAGTACAAATCGATACTTATAAATAAAATTCATGGAAACTGTTTAATTTATAAAAATTTGTATAAGCGGTAACTATTAAAGCTAATTTGTTTAGAAAATTATTTTTGCCTATCATAGCAGCCGTTTTAAAGAAAACTTTCATTTTTCAAATATCTATTGAGAATGTCTTTCAACTTTTTGCATTAACTAGGTCTGTAAAACTTCTCGGAAAACGGTGTAAAACATTTTCCATTTGCACGATAAACTGCCGCTAACGGTTATGTAAATTACGTTTTGCTCGAGAATGACGAAATGTCTTTAATATAGAACTACGCTGGTATACAAAAAAGTTGAACAGTTGGTCATTATATTGTTTAACTTTTTTTTTAGATATGTTTAAGTTTGCTGTATAATTTAGATGCATTTATTTTGTATTTTTGTTGTCTTTAAGAGATTGTTGTGGACTTTTTGTTATTCAGAGTATTTGTTTAATTCTGATTTAAAGATTTTGGAGATGTGAAAAAAGAAAAAACAAGGAGTATTTTAATGGCTATTTTATTCTAATATACAAGAGTCATACATATGTAACATAGGTTTATGCTCTTATAGATGCATTACTCTTGATCTCATCATGCAAAATTGATTACATGTTGTGTCACCCCTGTTTTTCTTCATGAACTTCTTGAAAAAAAAAAGTTATAGCATAATAAGTCCATCATTCATTGTGTGAAAAAGGAATCAATAGAATTATTTTTATGTTATGACAGAGAGAGACTACTACGTCTCTAAAGTTATAACTAGCAATATATTCTCATTTTATGCAATATTTTTCA